ACACACACACACACACACACACACACACACACACGCACACACACACACACACGCGCACACACACACACACACACACACACACACATACACACACACACACACACGCATACACACACACACACACACACACATAGAACGCAATATTCTACGTATGGTGATTTATTTGGATCAGGACCACGAATGGTTGTCCCCTACTCGGTTACATTATACTAGTATGTGGTAGAGAAGTACTTTAGAGAAGTATTTTATTTAACATGATGTGGGACGCGTAACAAATTTGTTAACTTATATTACGATTCGGTCATACTGTTATAGCTATCTCTGGTTGTGGCTAAGAAATAACCGTCGTGTGCATTTGGACAAAAGAATAAGTCCTTATATTATAAGATTATTGACTCATAGAACATTGTCTGTACACTAACTTAACAGTGTATTGTTTCTCCCATTGTGCCATTGTTAGCAGAAACTAATTGATTCGTCGAGGCAGTAAAGTCTAATACGTGATCCCTTATAGTTCTAGACTTTATCCCTAGCTTTCGAGGTCCAATTTAAAACCAATTAACATATAATGAACTGCATTATGTACCGATCTATAGATATAAGCACGCGTTTACTGTACAATTAATCATAATCCAGAATGATATAATTTTTCATTATACTTAGTATCAGTAGTATAGTAGTCAACCCCTTGACACTGACAATGTTCGTTTATCATGTGAACAAACGATGACGTTTTCATTCTTTTAGATATTGACAATGCTCGGAGTGGTATTATCGCTGATTGACAAGTCCCATAACCATAGACTTTGACCGATAGATCATGTGGAGGTCACCTAATGTCTGTTGAACTCTTCTCCAAACAGATCACACGGTAGTAAGGCAGTATCAATTGGCCAGAGGAGTGATTTTTAAAGATCGTGTCGTTGCTTCGCCTTGTGGACTATTAAAGGCAATGTGTATCATATGGGCGCTTAGACTTTTAAAAGCAATTTGTATATTGAATCTTAGAGTCAGTCACCAGCACACATCTTGGGCCTCGGTCACAGCCACCGTAAGTGCGCTGTCTACGTGCAAAAACGTGGGCAAATTTTGGGGATCCGAGGTGAGTACCGCCGCCGTACGGAGTCCTACGGATTGGGGAGCACGCAGACATGCCGTAGAACTTTAAGTACATGTAAAACTTTCTCTGCGTGCAGGCTGCGTGCGGCCGTACGAGCCAGTACGGGCGACGCGCGTGCCCTGTACGTATCCGTATGTACCGTACGTAAGAAGCACGTGTACGCACGACCTGCATACAGTAAAGTGGCAATCGTACAGAGATCGTACGTTGTAAGCACGTACAACTCACCACTTGCGCAACAAAGGATTGACCCCAAAATTTACACCTTGCGCAACCGTGCGAGTCGGACGTGCGTTAACATACTGGTCATGCCAATCCTTCCCCACGTTTTCAGAAGAACGTAGCAGACTTGGCCTTAAAAAAAAACACGTACGGATAAAAACACGTACGGAGGGTTAACTAGTACGGAGACCACGTTTTTGCACGTAGACAGCGCGCAGATACACTTACGGTGGGTTATGCCTCTCGTAATATGCTAAGGTCACAATTCCAACACGGGCAGCTTTTGAAAAGTACGATATGAAAGACAACAAAGAACAGAGAAGTTTTTTTCTATAATCGTGTCTACTATTTCTGTATATTCTCGATATGAATTATTAATTTTGTCGTTCACACAAACAGCCCTCTCGGGCCCCGGGTTGGAAATGTGACCTAAGCATTAGGTAGTGCATTTCCACTAGGGACATACAGAATCTTAGGCATAACGGACGATTGATTGCTCTGTCGACTTGGCGGTTCGCCGAGGATTAGGCCACGCCCATTTCCCAAGGACTATGAGACTGACACATACTGACACTAATCTGACTGGGATTGAACTCTTGATCTCGTTGAACCTTTCACACCACGGCGTCATTGTTCTGGTTGTATCTATGTCCACATTATTTGGTTTATTGAGCTCAGTGCGATAAGAGCAATGTTGTTTTTATGCTTTGGAATGGTCAGCAAGTTGTAATCTACTGAAAAACATTGACACAATCGCGCAACTGTTTGGACTGTACCTGACTGTATCGACTCGACAAGGAAGTAAATTCCAACACGATAAGAACACACTCTGTTTTTTTCTGATATCAGATGGCTAGCGAGGTCATAATCTACCCATGAAATCAAGATACTTTTACGCCAATAACTGCCAGGCGGGAGCACAGTCACATTCGCCATATGAACGGAACATGTACATTTTGAAATTATTATGCATGCCTGTATCTGTATCATATAGCCAGTATAACCGCCCTTCGGCGTAACACACCAGCTTCGCAGGCACGCGGCTCTGCGTCAGCTGGCTACATTATACCGATCGACTTGTTACACCTAACCTTTGAACATCTAACTCTAGAAGTCGTTTTAAGTTCTGTACTGACAATGCGCCTACTGTACTTGGTGACAGCGAGTTCGACTCTGGGATAGTTCTAGGAAAGAATGAATTCTTGAACAACTCAATTCTTGGTTGATAACTCTGGTACTTGAAGGCATGGCTATTTCTTGTTCTCTTCTGGGCTGATATTAGGTACTTATTAGTAGTTAGGACATCCACCATTTTATTAGTAGTCATGTTGTACAATCGTCAGTTGTTTTGTTATGAAAAAATGGTCCTGTTATTATATCGTTCAAATGTCCTACGACATAATAGTTGTACCTACGATTAATCTGGCAATATTACTGCATCCCCCTTCCCGGCCTCTGAACAGACTACACAGACCTTGTCACGTTCTCCTGGATACCAGAAGTGTTTTATTTTCAATTAAGACCACAGCAAGAAGTTTTTATGGATGACATCAGCGCGCGCATTACTAGGCTGCTTTCGCCTGATTTCGGAAAAAGAAACACAAGAAATGTGTTCTATCATGAAACTTCATCTGTGTTGGTAATTACATGTTTAAAGTTAAAACTTAAAACTAGTTCTAACTAAAGGTGACTGAACTTTGTTGTGTTGGATCGAAACTTTTAACTTAAAGAAGAAATTCTGTTGGCTTCTGACAGTGGTCACTATGCCAAAAATGAGCAAAGATGTCTGTTGCCATGCCGGGAGGTGAATGGAAATTTGTGGTTGAAGGTGATTGAAATTTGTTGTGTTGGATCGAAAGTTTTAACTTAAACAAGAAATTCTGTTGCCTTCTGACAGTGGTCACTATGCCAAAAAATGGGCAAAGATGTCTGTTGCCATGCCGGAAGGTGAATGACAGAGAGGAGACAAGAAAAGGCTCTGATTTACTGTTTTTGTCTCACTTTGATATGTAGTAATATGTGATGCTGGCTGTGTATATGTGATGTTCCCACTGAATCAAAACCATTTGTACAATGCTTAAGTCCAAATTTTAAAATGTAGGAACCTTATTTTTTTCGACCCGCCTTGTTTCTTTTTTCGCCCGCTCGCATTAGATTTGGAGTCTTTGAAGGATGTCATCCATGAAATTTACCTGCTGTGGCCTTAATAAAGCCTGTTCTGTACCAGTTCAAAAACTGTGGAGCAGTCCTCGGCAAGTTCTTATCTATCGATCATAAGAAACATTCACACATCTCCGTAATTGTTTGGACTGTACCTGAGTGCAGAGACTCGACCATGGAGTAAATTCCCACGCGAAAAAAATTGCCGTTTTATTAGCTAATATTGACTGGCTAATAACGAGCTCGAGGTCACAATCGTGTAAACACGATAAGATCAGTGTTTTTTTTTCTGACACCGGATTGGTTAGCAATACCATAAAACTTGTCTGCTGCGCAAAGGACCCTTGAACTCTTGAACCTTGAATACCATTACGTGATTGTTTGGATGTATCTAAGGCTACAGTATTTGATCAATACTTAAGGCTAAAGGAGGAAGTAAATTCCTACAAGATTACGGCATTGGTGTTTTTCTTATTTGACTGCTCAGCACAATCCACTGTTTGTCACAATCTCTCCATTGATTAGACTGCACCTGGACTGAGTTTATTGTGCTCGGTCGTAGGCCTCGACGAGGAAGTAAATTCCAACACGAAGAGAACATTGACGTTTTGCCAAAAGTTGTTTCATGGATAAAGTCATACCTGAGAAAAAACATCGCAACAAATCAATTACGTGCTGTAATGCTGACTAGTAAAGCCGTCCTACGTGTAAAGAAGAGAATGTTTAGAAAAGTGGGGTCACTCTCCTTTGGAAGAAAGAGCTGCGTAGAATCATACCATGCACAAAAGTCGTCGATCAATATTCATATAATTTTAAATAATTTGTATTATCATGATTTTTAATGTGCTCTTATTTAACTTTT